CCATGCCCAGCTAATTTTTTGTATTTTTAGTAGAGATGGGGTTTCACCATGTTGACCAGGATGGTCTCGATCTCTTGACCTCGTGATCCACCCGCCTCGGCCTCCCAAAGTGCTGGGATTTACAGGCTTGAGCCACCGCGCCCGGCAAACCCCAACTCTTTAAAAAATACAAACGTTAGCTGGGCGCAATGGTGCGCGCCTGTAATCTCAGCTACTCAGGAGGCTGAGGCAGACGAATCACTTGAAACTGGGAGACAAAGGTTGTGGTAAGCTGAGATGGCACCACTGAACTCCACCCTGGGCAACAAAGTGAGACTCAAAAAGTATAAAAGCTGATCCCTTCCCAGATAGAATCAGCCTCATACTGGCAGGGAGGGTGCTGAAGAAGGTACACACGCCAGTCACAGAGTCTGCAGCCCCCTTGCTCTCACTGAGATTCTTAGGCTTGACCTTGAACTCATGCATGAAATGATGACCATCTGCTCATCAAAATCTCCACCTCAGTGGGTGTCCCTTACTGTAGACTATACTTCAAAGATCCATTTTCATAGTGCTTACAGACATATCCAAAGTGCCACTTCCTGGGTGAAAGACAAAAACATTTCCTTTGGTGGCAACCCTCTTGCCTATCCCATAAACGGCAGCAGCAGTGGCTGGCTCAGTGACTCGGAACACACAGAAACCAGGAATGGTTCTAGAGTCGTTAGTGGCCTGACCTTGGGAATGACTTGAGCCAGTCGGGGCTAAATGGCTGCTTTGTTACAGTCTTTCCAGGGATAGGCTTTGGTAATCTTAGCTTTTATAGCGCTATAAAAGTTAACCTCCTCCGAATATAGGATTATCGCACCTGGACTCTCAACCTGTTATCCAATGTGGAAACTGTCTTATAATTTGACCCTCTAAACATCTAGTCCAGCTTTGAAAACTGGACTCATGTAATTCAATGCCATTGACTGTTTGCAGAATCAAGATCAACAGATCCGTGCACAGCACAACTTGGGTCGTCTGTTATCCTGATTGCTGGCAATGATATTCACTTCCTAGAGCTAGAAGGGTTTCACACAGGAATGGATGGTGCGAAAATCCGGGTGCCAATGATAAGTCAGTCTCTTCAGTGAGACTGCTGAGCAGGCTAGGTTTGGCTTGTTTGAGAAACGTGCAGACACCATAACCGTGCTGCATTCAATGAGTGAAGCAATTTTATAGAAATCTATTTATCATAAAGCTCTTTTTTTTTTGAGATACAGTCTTGCTATGTGTCGCCCAGGCTGGACTGCTGTGGTACAATCTCAGCTCACTACAGCCTTCACCTCCTGGGTTCAAGTGATTCTCCTGCCTCAGCCTCCTGAATAGCTGGGATTATCAGCCCACATCCAGGGACTGATAGATGAGGGGCATTCTACTCTTATACCCTAGAGGGTGTTTTAGGCTGTTGATTGCAGCTCAGTTCAATTAGCCAGGCATGTGTCATTATGACTGGCTAATATTTTATTTTTAGTAGAGATAGGAATTTACCATGTTGGCCAGGCTGGTCTGAACTCCTGACCTCAGGTGATCCACCTGCGTCAGGCTCCCAGAGTGCTGGGATTACAGGCATGAGCCTCTGTGCCCAGCCCTTAAAGCCCTTTTTTGATCTGGATTCTGTAATAAAGTGACTGGTTTTGCTGAACTGTGTTGCAAGTTACGTTCGCCAGGAAGCAGATTCTGAGATGAAGTTTCAAGGACAGGATGTTTATTCAGGAGTGCCCTTGGGATTACTGACACCTGAGGGGGCGGGGGGAGGAACAGGACTGGGGAGCAGGAGAAGCTGAGCTGCAATCAACAGCCTGAAATGCCCTCTAGGGTGAACAGGTAGAATGGCCCTTCATCTGTCAGTCCCTGAATGTGGGCTGCCTCCAGAAGGGGCACAGCCCCAGGTGAGAGGATTCTTTGTAGCCAAGGCAATCCTTGAAAAGGCTGAGGAATGAAGGCCAACAGGTACCAACCATACCTGGTACAGCAGCTGGGCAGAGTTGTGCACTGTCAAGGGATCTGGGGGGCATGTCTCAGAATCCAACACAACTCTATTTTCTGGACATGTCAAGTCTGAGTCATCTGTTGTGTGGGCTCAGTCTCAAAAAAGTTTTTTTTAATAAATAAATGTCTTCATAATCATGTATAATCTATTGATGGAAATTCCAGTAGACCATAATGTACTAATACATTTCCCTAGTGTTGAACATCTGTATTATATTGCCCTTTCTCGGTAGATATTTAAGGAATGCCTAAGATTTTTCAGTACTGAAATTAATGATGCTGTAAGAGTGAGTGTCAGATACTGCTTCTTAGTGGGTGCTCACCTCTGCCTACGGCTTTTTCTGCTCTGCTGCTGGCCCCACCTTGTCCAGCACATCACACCATGCTCAGGGCTGGCTGCCACTTTAGCTGGGCCTTTCAAAGAGCTTACAGTATATTTGTAGCAAACAGTGAAATCTCTGGCAGTGACCTTTAACCATCATCAGAACCACTTTGACTTTACTGGAAGGCAGAGCAGCAAAAATGCTCCCTCTGAGCCAAACGTGAAGTGACATATCCTGCAGTCCGGAGCAGAGATCTCGCCCTTGGCACTGTTGACATTTTGGGCCACACTGTTCTTCACTGGGGGTCCATAGGGTCCCGTGGGGTCTGCCATGGGCATTACAGGATGCTGAGCAGCATCGCTGGCTCTACCCACTAGATGTCTCTGAGTTGGTAACAATCAAAAATGCCTCCAGACACTGCCAAATAAATGTCCCATGGTCCCATGCAGTGCAGAATCACCCCTGGTTGAGAATCACTGGTCTAGAGAGTGTTTATGTTTTTAATTTCTCTCTTAATACATAATACAGTTAATTGGCCTCAGAAATAAACGTGGAAAGGAAAACACTTTTTCATTGCTTTATCACTCACTATCCCCATAATTAGAAGGTTTTTTTTGTTTTTTTTTTCCCTTTTAAATATATATTTTATTGCATTTTAGGTTCTGAGGTACATGTAAAGAACATGCAGGATTGTTGTATAGGTACAAACATGGCAATGTGGTTTGCTGCCTCCATCCCCATCACCTATATCTGGCATTTCTCCCCATGTTATCCCTCCCCAACTCCTTACCCCCCACTGTCCCTCCCCTAGTCCTCCCCCACAGACCTCAGGGTGTGATGCTCCCCTCCTTGTGTCCATGTGTTCTCATTGTTCAACACCCGCCTATGAGTGAAAACATGCAGTGTTTGATTTCCTGTTATTGTGTCAGTTTGCTGAGAATGGTTTCCAGATTCGTCCATGTCCCTACAAAGGACACAAAGTCATCGTTTTTTATGGCTGCATAGTATTCCATGGTATATATGTGCCACATTTTCCCTGTCCAGTCTATCTTCAATGCGTCAGTTCCAAGCCTTTGCTATTGTAAACAGTGCTGCAGTGAAC